AAGCAAAACTCCACCCTTGAATGTCCAGGGTACAAAGCCTTCCAAGTCCCTTGGGTCTACGATCGGGTCCTCACAGGGCCACATGGCCACAAAACCACGAGGAAACATTCCGCAATTTGGGCTTATGGTTTCACTATGTTTCAAGAAGCAAAACTGTTGGCTTCTCAAATTATGGACTTGTTTTGGCGAAAAACATTAAAAAAACAACAACATTTCACAGACACGTATTACAGTATGCTGTTTGGAACATCAACTGGGAGTTGAACATCTGGAGAATTGCCATCGGATACCCCAACATTTTCAGACAGAAAATACGGTAGAACTATGGCTTTCTTAGGATAAGCCAAAAGGTGAAGCCGCAAAAATGTTGCTTTGTGAAGCCATCAACTACTTCGTATTCTTTTTCAGAGGAACATCGTGGCACCAGTCTGACCATCCTTTGGGAGCACGAAGCAGTCCTTCACATCATGACCTTCTTCATCTTCTCGCTTCCAATCGCTTACCAGACCTTCCACCCGATGGAACAAGCCGTTGTAGTGAGCAGCCTGAAATGGCTGCGAACAAATGACGAGAAGCTTTAGGAAGCCGCAACATGGACCGGTAGAAAAACAATGTGTGGGGTGTGGATAGCTCGGATTGTATATGTTTGTTTTTTTTTCCATCATTATATCCCAAACACATGCTGTGTGATAAAGAACATGATAACTAACAAACAAGAGAATTTAGGGGTATCCAAGTTTCAAACAAACCCATATGGCCAGGAGTTATGGCTGTCGCACCAGGTTGCGTCACCAGGTTGCGGATGGTTGCGGAATCAGGGCATAACTAATGATCTTGTTTGGTTATTTAGAAAATAAGATGGGACATTTGCAAATGGATCAAAACCCATTGTTTATAGATGTTTATAGTATAAACCTGGTTACAATAGTTGGCAAGTGGAATTGTTTTGACCACTGCCATTTACGGAAAGAAGACGCTGGGATCCCAAATAATTAGTTGACATACTTGGGCCCTGGGGTTAAGAAACTGGTTAGTAGCTTAGAACTGACGAAATAAGTCAGTTCTAATAGATTCAGATTTCACCATCTGATCCGTGTCATCTCCTGACTCTGAAAAAGTTCAAAAGGCAAACTGCAAATGATGACATTCCTGTGCCAACCTCAGATTCATCCCTTCTCCTCATATTATATAAAGGGAGGGGGATGTTGTGAGCGCCAAAATGTTTGCATTTTTGACATTTCATTTCTGCAAAAGATACTAAACCCTGTTCTTTCCAGAACCAAACATTGTTGCTTCTGTAACAAAAGCAACACTCCTTTCTGTATATAAAATATATTAAACACCCTCCAGAGTCACCATAGTGGATGCGGTGGACTGCCATTTTTTGGGTTACATTGTATGGATCATCCACATCCCACATGTTTTTTTCCTACACCTGCTCCTAGGTACCCATAGAATGTTGCTATGTTACCTCACAATTTTATTGCGCTTGCACGCGCTTGCCCATTTTTAGGGCTGCTCGGCAGGTCCCGTTAGTCCCGTTTCACCTGGATCTGTGGTACAATCAGCAAGTCTGAACACCAAAAGCCAGGGAATAGGATGCACATCTTGATATGTACCCTCTGGTGAACTAACATAGCAATGGAAAATCACCATTTTTAATGGGAAAATCCATTATAAATGGCCATTTTCCATTGCTATGTTAGTTCACCAGAGGGTATTGGTATATAGGTTCTAGGAAGTTCTAGAATGTTCTATTCATTTCAAATCCGATTGGAAACCGTCTTAGTTTCATGTTCTTTTTCCAATCAAACCATATGTTTTACCAACTGGTTGGTGGTATACCTACCCCTCTGAAAAATATGAAAGTCAATGGGAAGGATTATCCCGTATATTGTGGAAAATAAAATTCATGTTCCAAACCACCAACCAGCCAATAATAAAACCCATGGTATACCCCAATTCAGGCATCTCTCCAGGACCTCAGCAGTCAGGGTGCATTTCGGCGCTGAGCGGTTCGCTCCACCACACCGATATCTGCCAGAAAACTCATCAGTCCGTCCTCAGTCAGAACGGAGCGAACGTTCGCTGGGAAATCCGGGGAATTTGTTTCAAGGTGATGGGCCCTGGGAGTTAACTGGTTAGTAACTATAGCTTAGAACTGACTCATAGCTACCACTTAACTTAGCAAAAAAAAACAAATCACTGACCACCTGCTGGTTAATTGATGTTGATTGTATATAGATACTATGGTGGGTAGAATAAGTCATTTGACTTTTAGGGCAAACCACAATTTACAGGTGCTATTTGGCAACAATGCACTTGGAATTGTCCAATTGACATGATGGTCATAAATTTGGCTCGAATTTGGCCATTTGATTGGACACATTTATGCTAAGGTTGCCCTTGCAATTTTGAGTCAGCATGACATAGTCAGCAAATTGATCTAAGGGATGCAACCTAATGATGGGGAGAAGGGTAGAAAAGGTCCGACGGACCGACTATGGCACTAACATAAACACCATGAATTGAACAAACAAACACCATGAATTGAATAAACACCATGAATTGAACAAATACCGGCTAGCTAGGACTAGGACCATGAATTGCTATTGAACAAACGATCCCAATTTGCTCTAGCCGACTTCACTCAAAGTATCGAAACTGTTCAATCAACACATTGCCTCAGAGACACCTCAAATTACCATGGTTTACATTCATGTTCTCCATGTTCTCCATGCAATCAATTGAATATTTCAGTATCCTAAACTGGCGGTACTGTATATACAATATCATTTTTAATCAAACAATTGCAAACAAATGGAGGTACTCTACAATGATCAAGCTATATTATGCTATATTTTGGGGGCATATCCCCTTTCATTAGCCACGTTTAAAAGGCACCGAGAAACGGGATCGTTCTGTCGATTCAACGTCAGGCGTTGCTTCACCTGGCGGCTCCGGTATCCCAGAAGTAAAAGCAGCGGAAAAACAAAACCTCTGAACAAGAATGCACCTGGTTGGTGGTATACCTACCCCTCTGAAAAATATGAAAGTCAGTTGGGATGATTATTCCCATATAATATGAAAACATAAAATTCATGTTCCAAACCACCAACCAGATGTACGAGTATATATCCTCCAGTAAATTAACATAGACCCTGCCAGATAAGGGTTGGAAGATTAGTTTCCACCCAAAATTGATCATTTTCGGGGTCTATGCTAGTTGAGCAGAAGGTAATATGTATACGAGTCTTGTTTCGCCAACCATTTATTAATATCTTCCTAATCACCCCAAAATCAGAAGCAATTATTACCATATTACTAGTTGGATTACTATCGAGTGTAAACGATAGACTATCCAATTATTGCGGTACACCCAAGGACATTGAACAATCACAACCTCCCCGCAATATCTTACATAATCTTACTATCTGGATTGGGTGGCAAATGTAGAACCTCCAGGGTGGATTTTCCAGCCTTTGAGAAAGAACACCGGGGGATAGTGGGTAGTCTCAACATGGCAACTGCCTCATAGATCTTTCGAAGCTTTCAATGTTGGAGTTCTACCATGTTCTACCTTCAATTTTAGATTTGTATAGGTTTGTCATGATGTGTCCATTTAGATGCATTGTTTGTGCCATTTAGATCCGTTATTTGTCCATTTAGGATCTGTTTTGCAGGACAATCAACGAAAGAACAGGAAAGAACAGGAACCATCTTTCAGGTTCCTGCAGCTGCTTTCGGCAGAACCTTTCTTTGTCGACCGAGTTTCGCGTTGCTGGTGAGACGTGGCCACCGTGCTGTGCTGTGCGAGTTTTTTGCGCAACATCTTTGACACGAACTGAAACGTCTTTCCAAACGAGTAGCGGGTCATTGGCACATCAAAAGACTAGATCATTCTTGTTCATCATATTTCATCTATGGCAATCTGCATGGTCCTTTTGCTGACGCTTTTGACCATGAAGGGGGGCTGCTTACCACAGATCATTCATGCAAATAGATAAACAAACACAATTTCAGCTCGAAATCGGGTTAATTAATATCATAATACATGTGTCCATTAAATTTCATTAACATACATGTTACATATCCATTAATTAATATATCCACTAGTCATCCAGTGGAATCTACAAAATGTAATTAGGATCCACTTCTCATTAAATGAAATTGATTACTATCCATTGACATTGGATATCACTGGATATTCATATGATATCTTACCGTATTTCCACCAAAGTTAATATCATCATGTATCCGTTAATTAATGAATCCGCTAACATATCCATACCTATCCGTCACACCAGTTATTGTAATTAATTGTCATTGTGGTGACTTGACCATTCCAATCCATATTAAACATGTTTAAAACATCAAATGCCTATAGTCAAAATACTTCAAGTACAAACACTTATACTATCCCATGGTTTATGATGGAAACTTTCAAATGGATGATTTCTCTCGGTACCCCCATGACTTAGGAAACTTCCACATACATATAGTAATATTAAATATTCATATGCAACATCTATATAATGGATATTAATATGGTACATTATTATACTTAGATATTATTAATCCATTATATAGATGTCCATCCCTATAAATCCCTATTAATGGATTGACTACTGCTGGTTGCTTAGTAGTATTTCCCAAAATGGATAGTCAGAATCCCCAACACAGGGTAGTTTTATCCAAAGCACCAACTCCTATTAAATTTTTTAAAATGGATTGAAAACAAGGGGTACCCCCATGACTTAGGAAACCTCTATGGTGGGAAAAGTTACGAAAACATGGTTTATCCCATCATTATATAATATGGATTAATATAAGCAATGGATGTTACACGTATATCTATCAATATCCTATAATATATCTATTAACCATCATAAACCATCATAAACCATCATTGACCATGATTAACCATGATTAACCATTATTAACCATATAATGATGGTACAATATATTTTTTATCCCATAAGTCACTGGATTTCAGCCCCTCACAGCAACGGCAGCAACGCCAAGATCTGCTCTCGCGCCGCGCTCGACGTCGACGTCGACGTCCGCAGCTGCTGCCGCAGCGCTGAAGGTGACGGCGCCGGGCCGTCGAAGCCCAGGGGGGAAAGGCCCCAGCCTTGGACGCCAGGATGAATGGAGCCTTTGCCCAGCCAAAAATGGGAGAAACATGGGAGAACATATGAGAAAATGGTGGTTTTGACATGTTTTAACCAGAAAACATGATGTACAAGTGGATGTGAATGAAGATTTTAAGCAACAAAGTTGGGATTTAGATGGGTTTAGCCGACAAACAAACACATTCAGATGTGATTTAATGGTAGCCATGTTGGCTTCTACTCATCCAAAATGGAACAACAACGAGTAAAGTAGGTTTACGGCCAATGAACATATATACAGAGTCTGGAGCCTGGAAAACCACCATGTGTCTTTTTTGCCAGGGCCTCTCTAAGGTAGTGGTTTGACAGACAAGTTACCTAAGTGAACTATGTATAATTCAGGTAATTTTTATCCTAAGTGAACTATATATAATTCAGGTAATTTTTTATGTATCATATTTTATGATAACTATAAGTAAGCTATCATAAGTGAACTATCATCACATATCCTAAGGTAGGGATGTTCAGACCAACCCAACTTGGAGACGTCGCAGCCCAGCAGAGCAGCTGTCGGTGTTCAAGCCATGTGCGTTGCGATACATCACCTCAGTGGGAAGCCGAAGAGTTGCTGTATTTTGGGGAGTTACCCCAAGGCAAAAACAACCAATATTATATGTCTATATTCCATGTTTCATTATATAATATTCTATGAAACATGGAATATAGACATATACAATATTTCTATGAAACATGGAATATCGAAATATTATATCATGAAATATATGAATATAGACATATTAATGATACCAACAATATAGGAACAATATATATATATATATGGTACCAAGGAATATAGGAATAGTAATGACATATAGAACCAACAACATGAACCTGGTTGGTGGTATACCTACCCCTCTGAAAAATATGAGTTCGTCAGTTGGGAATATGAAATTCGCAATATATGGACAACTAAAATTCATGTTCCAAACCACCAACAACATGAACAAAGCGGATATTAAGCTGTAAGTGAACGAAGTACCAGTACGTTGAATATTCCCAGATTATGATGGGAACACAAGCATGAACCAATATATGTTGGGGTTCTACTTGGAAATTCAGTGAACCAGGGAGCTAAGTGGATATCTTATATATATATATACAAGCGTTGATATGTCATTTTTGCCTATTCCAAAGACCTGGTGGAAATCATGTAAAACCAATGGGGTTGCATCCCAATAAAAATCAATGGGTTGTAGTAGCTCTGGAAATTATGGTGGGTCTTTGAGCCCCGCAGCCCACCAGCTGCCTTTTGGCATTGCTTCGATGTTTTTCTAAAATTTCCGTCGTTGTTTTTCTCTGTCTTTCTTCCTTGTGCCAATGGGAGATCTTCAGGATCCTAAAATGGAGGTACGTTAGTACCATATAAGGCCATATTTTGGGGGAATATTCCCTTACATAGGCCTTACATAGGGCCTTATATATGGTAGGTACCTCCAATTTAGGTTCCTGGAATGGCCATTGATTGCTTGCCGTTTAGCCGTTCTCTGTTACTGCATCTCTCTATCACTCTCTCAGCTATTTATCTCTCTTTATTTTTCTTCCGCCCCGTCGTTTTCAAGCCCATAACTCATTCACTTTAAAGATACAACAAAATGAATTAGAGACATGAATAGCCTTATTATACAGTATATACCAAGTAATTGAGGCAAATAGCAAAATAACACCTTTTCCTGGTGCTTAATTTCCTTTAATCAATCCCATTAATAAATCACATTATATAAAACACCATATTTTGGTTGGTTAATCTCATATAAAGCCCATTTTTTCATCACATTATATAAAACACCATATTTTGGTTAGTTAATCTCATATAAAGTCTAATACTATTAAATCACAATTTTTGTTGCTTAAATCCCATATTCCCATATAAATCCCATATTACATCCCTCGTTTCATCGCCTAGCCACGGCTTCCACCAGCACCCACGCCGCACTGTCCACATCGAGGCGTTCCGCGCAGAGCCGCAGCAGCAGTTCGTAGGCCGCACTTCGGTGCGGAGTGGCTGCAGCCATCCAGGCCTGGACGAACAAACCTGAGGCAAATCAAAGGCAAGTTTGGCAGGATTACCCTCTGGCAAACGTTTACATAACGAACTGGAAAATCATTTTTTTCCATGGGAAAAGTCACTCTTTCTATGGCCATTTTCAATAGCTATGTTAAATTACCAGAGGGTAAACTAAGGAAATTGGTGGTTTTTATCTAAGGAAAAATTGTGGCTCAATATAGTTTAATGGGATCTTTCAAAGTAATTTTCGAAGAAAACCATGGTGGTTTCATGGTGATGTCATGGGATGTAGGACTGAATGGTGGTTTCATGTTAGTTTTACGGGCAGGACTGAGGGTTGTCCCGGAATGGTCGTATGAACGTCAGTGGGAGGCTCATTTCTCTGCGCAGGTGCAGTGTTTTATGACTCTGGTACATCTGTGAGTTAGCGGGTCTAAGACGAATTTTTGGAAAAATCAGTCAGAAAAGTGAACCCTCTGCGGACTTCAGGCGTTTCGGCCATTTCCACTTTTTCAATCTTTTCGACTTTTTTGGCGAGTCCGGATTTTATAACTTATGTAAACCCTAAATGAAGCACCTAATAGAAGTATGCGTATATGTTCCATGGGGCCGGGGGATTTTATAACTTATGTTATACCCTATATGAAACCCCTAATAGGAGGTATGCGTATATATTCCATGGGGCTGGGAGATTATGACAAGGACATGTTATGACAAGGAAATCCCCTAGCACTGGAATGATGGAACCAATGGGTTGCTAGCTCCGCTCTCGGGTATGGCCCTCCGGGCCATACCCTCGTCCTGTGGGTAGTTTTACTGAGGATTTCATATGATGGGAATTTGCATATTTCATATGATGGGATTTCATATTACATATTCCTTTTGTGGTGTCATCCCCTTCTTGATTTGGATATTTACTTTCATATGATGGGATTAGTCTCTGAGATAGTACTTCAACATCCCCAAAAAAACCATTATGACAAGAGGGGATGACACCACATAAGAACCAAAATTCATGGGGGTCTTTTTTTAATATGATCGAGGGATAGTATAGGACTGTAACGGAGAAAATGTATGTTCTTGAAGGGATGGTTGTTGCTATAAACCATGGCTGTGTTGAAATATTATAAGTTATAGATATATCTATAGTTAATGGATGTTAATGGGGTTATAACTGGGGGGGCACTGCCTTGTAAGGGAAGTTTTTGGGGTGTCATAAGTTTCTTTGGGGTAAAATATTTATGTGTTCGAATACGTTTTATATGGAGGGATCCCCTAAACTAACAAGGCCCTATCGAAAAGAATATTTCACCCCCATCAACCCCGAACAATCAGGGTGAATATTGAACTCTCCTTGTACAGGATGTTATGCCTCATTTTTAGACATGCCATGGAAATCTAAGTAACGCGCAAACAAGCAGCAAAACCCATATTTGTGCAAACCACATCAACCCTTATGAAGAAGGCGTATTGAACCCCCTATGTTACCTATGAAGATGGAACACCCAACATGTATGGGTAGTGTTCTCAGCTATTCTTCCATTAAACACCTTTCTCTCTCTCTCCGTTGCCCTCTCCCAGACTTTGGACTTTAGCCTTTACTTCTGGGCATCGATCCAGCACTCGATTTCCATCAACACCACCCATACAGCCCCCTAATTGCATGTGTTGCCCCCCAAAAATGGGGGTTGATACCTATAGATCATGGCCATTCAATGGAACTTCCATGGGATCATAACGGGATAATGATTACTGATCGTTTCAAATCCAATAATCATCCCAAATGCCAATAGTATCCCATGAATCATTGATATACACAACTAGTTAGCACCAACACCAGATATATCCCAATCATATCCCAATAATCATCCACAAAATTCCGTTCATCACCATGAATCACCATTCAAAATCCCATGGTTCCCATAATCACATGAATATCATTAAGACACGCATGCACACAAATAATGTGTATATATATATACATATGTATATTTAAATATGATTATATAGGTATGTATATATATATATATGTATATTTAAATATGATTATATAGGTATGTATATATATATATGCGTGTATATGTAGGTGTATTTGTATATGTAGGTGTATCTCTATATATATATTATATATATATATATATTTAAAGGTCTGTTTATTTATGTCCAATTATTGTCAATTGATCTTCACATTCAATATGTCAATTGACACAATGTCATTGACTCTCAAATATACCAACTGCTGACAACTCCATGGCTTCCCAAGTCCAGTCGTCCGTCCCAGGCACTGGCTCCACGCGCCTCGCTGCTCTTCTCACGCAGCAGGCTTTGGAAGACCGGCGCCGCCTGCAGAGCCTGATTCGCTGAACGGAAGCGCCATGGGATGCTATGGAAACCACTGGAAAAATAGGGGTTTACCATGTTTTTTTAATGTTTTTTTCAAATTCTGACATGTCTTTTTGGAGCGTTTAAATACGCGTATATGCTTAAATCTTCATAAAAATTGAGATTAGGATGAGTGCGCATGTTTTTGCCCCCCCAAAAAATGTTTGCTGAGAGTGTAATCATCAGACTCGGATCTGGGTGATCCTTGGGTGATGAGGTAAGCTGGCAGGTTTGGATCGATTGAAAATGGGTTGCACAATCCAGATCACAGGGATCTGAACCCAGGTTACGGCACATGTCATCGAGAGGAGCATTACGATCTTATATGTACCAGCCATATCTGATATATTTAGGAAAAAATGGGAAAGTTACCCCAATCCAATTCCCATCATTCGCGCGTGCAGCTGGGCTGCATCTGACAGCACCAGGCTGTCAAAGACCTGCTTCGCGTTGACGGATCGATCTATGGGATAGTTTGGGATCTACACTGCAACTTGAAAAGCAACAACTTGTTTTTGTGCAGGGCTGAAATAGTTTGAAGATAAATAATCCCACCCCCATATGCAACACCCTCCAAAAACATGCAAAAACAATGATTGACCATCTAGGGGGTGTTGGATATTGAGGGGAAGGGATTGATTAGCCTTATCTCTCTTTCCATCGCCTTCTCAAGGAGTTCAGCAGAGCTAGAGGCGAGTAAGATACAACTCCGCTAAGCGGAAAAGAAGTGTCAGCAACCAAACTGGTGCACAAGTTGCTTCATTTCCCTCTGATTAGCCCTATATCTTTTTAGATTATATAGGTATTGTTCCCCACGAGTGACGGGCAACACACTGCCAACATAGCCCACCAAACGACATTTCCCTGGTGAATTTGTTGCTAATAACCTGCAAAGTGGATCCCCCAGAACCACCATTATCTGTATAGATTAGATGTCCACCACAAAAGCCAAATCATTGGTGATGGTTGGGGTCATTGTAAACACAAAATGTGTTGTTTCTACCACCTAAAACCTCATAATTGGTGATAGTTCCAGTATGTTCCAGGTGTTAGCTATTATAGACCAACCATTAGTTGTTGGTTATAAACCAGCTATTAGTTTTCGGTTATATATTAGTTAAAAGAAACCAATTACCCTCTGATAATTTAACATAGCTATAGAAAATCACCATTTTTAATAGGTAAACCATCTATAAATGGTTCATTTTCTATAGCTATGTTAAATTACCAGAGAGTAAACCTCGATTTTCTGATGGTTTTCCCATGGTTTTCCTATGATTTTCCAAGCCCAACTTCCCCAAACCAAGCGATTCACCGCACCGGGCCTCGCGTAGAAAGGCCACCCGGCCGCTGATGTCAGCGTCGTCGTCGACAGCGTGGGTACCGGTGCCGGTGAGGCGTCCTTTGGGGGGGACCTCTTCGAAGGTGGACCCTATGGAAAATGGTCTATTTACATCTATTTACTATGGAAAATGGTCCATTTACTATGGAAATTGGTACATTTACTATGGAAACCTATGGAAAATGGTCCATTTATAATTCATAACTATGGAAAATGGTCCATTTATAGATGATTTACTTATGAAAAAATGGATTGGTTTAAGGGAACATCTACAGGACACCCTTAAAAAAGGGCATGGCACACATCCAGGGTTTGTCCTGGTGTATCCATGGCGTCTTTTAGCCGCCGTAAAATTCACTATGGGCGAAGCGGCGAATCTTGACCATCCATTGGGGGAAAATGACGAAAGATGACGATACACATGATCAAATCATAGGAAATCCATGGGAAAACCATCAGAAAATGAAGGTTTACCCGCTGGTAAACGTTTACAGTTCACTATGGAAAGATCCACCATGCTATTAATGGGTAAATCCACTATTTCGACTGGGCCATTTTCAATAGCTATGTTAGTTTACCAGAGGGTAACTTCATATATGATTGGTTTGGGAGAATCAAGGAATGATCGCCAGCAATCAAGGTTTATCCATGTCTAGCATCTTGGGGAACTACAGTAACTTTACAACTTGGAAATCAAAGATCCTCACCTCCGCTCAGCCGGGCATCTGGCACAGAGATAGAAGAAGCAGAACGCTCTCCTGTGATGCGCCAGGACCACGGAGCATATGGGATACATAGAGGTCGATTGCAACAGTTTCCTCAGCTTCCTCCTATGATTCCAGAATTATCCACTATTATCCCATGATTATTCCATTGCCATGTTTATTGCAATATTACTTCCTTACAGCATATAACCTTTAGATCCCCATACTAACATGTACTACTCTCCCGTGGTCAAACATGGCAATGGAACCTCCCAGAGCAGCTCGATGATTTTCCCATTAAAGAATACAATTTATAGAAATTTACAGTGGATTTTGAACTGCCATCATTGATCACAGCATGGTTAGAAGGGTAACCTATACCTCCCTTACAGAACAAATCCATTGTATGTTCATTTTAGACCGATTATAGATGATTTTATTTATCCCCTGGTTTAAAATACAGCAACCACGAAAAACGTAGAAAACGTATTTCCAGGATGTTACTTTGATATATTTTCATCATGTTTTCCACATATGTTATATGTTCCACATATGTTCCAACAACGTTTGGGGTATCTTTCTTGGGGTTCCTATACATCCATGTAGCCTTGATTTACATTCACATGTGTATTGAACCTGACTAATATATCTCCATTATGTACCCCCTTAACTATGGAATTGTTAACTATCTACGATGTTTTTTCCTTATTCACTATATTATTATATTAACATTAAACTTTACCCTTATCATGAATCACTATATATCAACACATAATAACCATCAGCTATCGATGAAGACTGATGAATCCATGAATTCTTGCTTCTCAGCTCTCCTGGCCATCACCGAACTCGACATTTTTGCGCCCAGAAGGTCTCGACACAGCGGCCATGCCACGTGCTGCAGCGCCAAGTGGCGCCTTTGATCCAGGCGCAAACCAATCAGCCGGTTCTTCGTGGGGTACCTGGGTTCCCAGTGGGGAGAGATCAGCACCTGGAGCCACCATGTCTGGTCGTTCTGATGTCTTTTCAATAAGGAACATGTGGAAATATGGAAAGAAATGGGGCCAAAAACCAAGGGATTTTGGGGGTTAGCAGCTAGCTAGTTAGCACCAAAAAACCTCCGCAGTGGCCACACCAGGGTCAACTGGTCAACTGGTCAACTATTTACGTGTTGAGTCAAGTATAGCTGAAACCTCTCTATCACTCAATATCATCAGGATTTATCCTCATGTTCTGTTGTATGACCTGCCACTCCAATCCAGCACCCCTCCCCCCAAACAAACAAAACCAGTAACATGGCTAATGTTAGATTCTGTTGGATACCAACCTCAATAAACCGGCATTAATCCTATCCCCCTGATAGGAACTCCTATGCCATATGGCCCCCTAAAATGAATAGATACAACACTACACAATGGGTTATAACGCTGTGCTAGCTTTATCCTAACTGTCTAACTTACCTTTCCCGTAGCATCCTGATTAAACAATATTTGGTTCCCAGAAGTGTCACTTTGGATCGATTTGATCCCAACCAAATGGGTTTGACTAAACATATACTACCCCTAAAGCCACTGCTTATAAGCAAACATTCTTTTCTGGAACGATCCGTTAAGTTGGACACATTATGTCATGGACATATCCCACTACCTTCCGGTAGAAATCATGTGGTAATCCATCATATATGCAGCATTCATATGCGCGTTATGGCAATATATCCATTTGCTCTCCAGTCAATTAACAGTTCGACGCTGAAAAAAAAACATGTTTTTGATGGAACACTATTCTTCCAACCCTGTAGTTGGCCTTGGCAGGGTCTGTCTTGATTTACTGGAGGGTACCCCATGGCTATTTGACGTAGCTACATCTAAGCTCTGAACGAGCAATAAACACACACATATATATATATACACATATAATATCATAAAAAAATCATGTTCATAGGTTACGGTTAAAGATAGGTAAATCATCCAATGGAACATATACATATATTATTTATATTATATTATATATATATATATTATATCTATCCATTTCCGCTTAAATCTGTCACTTCCCCAGGCCCCGAAATCGCCAAGTGGCGTGGCGCCCAGCTGCTCCACCACCCAAGCTGCGATGACATTCGCCAACTTCAAGGACGAGCGCTCGGCATCGTCCGTGGCCGGACAGCTCTGAAGGACCTGGAAAGACAAGCGAAACAACGACTTCCAACGGAAAAGGCCAAGGGAAAGGCGCCGAACCCGCGGAAATCCAGATATATCACGTCTTTGGATAGGAAAGTATATATAATTATGGAATCTGAAACCCAGATATATAACGAGAACGTGTTTCGAAAAAAAACACATGGAATCAAAATCCAGTTTTAGCATGTTTTAGCCGCCATATGAAGTAAACATCATCTAGATAGGACATCCTCCAATAGTTTGTTTCTATCCATTAATTACTAATCATAGGTGTAGCATACCACAGATAACACTCATCAAGTTCATCCCTCCAAGGGGCTGCCAGTGAAGCGCGCAAGCGCGCGATCAACACCTCTTCATCGGACTCAGAGCTCCTTAGGCCGTTGGTGTCCAAAGATGGGAGCCCCATTGGTGCGAAACAATGCGAAACAGTACCGGAGCCCAAGTGAAAACAGGCCAAAACACGTGCGGGATGTGGTGCAATCATATCCATTTTATCTGTTTCATGTGGTAAAGCCACTACAAAAAAATCCCCAATATTACCTTGAATCGGTGGCAAAGTTGTCATTCCCCAATGGCTAGGTTTACGGGTTGAATCCCATGAAATCCCCGTCAGCTCTTAGTGGTTCTGAATTCGCAATGAAAAATATCTCCTTCGTTGAGATGCAGATTGCTGGCAAAATATTAGTTTATATTTGTAGGTAAATGCATATAATACATACATTACATTACATTACATGACATGACATTACATGACATGACATGACATTCGGGGGACTTCGAAATTCGGAGGATACAAAACTAATCCGTAATTCTCCTAATCTTACACTAATCCGTTGCAATGCGTAATCCGGTGTTCTTATGTATACTGGACTTGAATCACTGCAACAATTTCGGAACGCGTCCCCAAGTGGCACTATTTCTTTTTCACCGCTGCCCTCTGCAGGTTCACCCGCACACCCCAAATGGCATCTATATTCGACGCCACTAAACCCATATGAACATTTGGAGAGTTAACTCCACTTTTGGCTCTGGCGATCTCACCCGATGCGCCTTTGGCTTCTTGGGACTTCCTGGCTTCTCGAATCATTTTCCTCTTGCGCTGATGTGCAATTGTCTCTGAATGATTTGCTTCGGCAGCCATTTGCTCTTGCGTTTCCTGCAGGGACTTCAGAACTGCACTCTCATCGGACAGCGTCTGGCCAAGCTTCAAGTCACATGCTTGGACCGACTTCCGCTTCCGGTGGGACGCGGCAAGTTGGCCACGATGAAAGAACAGGGTGACAGTGAATAACTGTTCGAGGGCATATCCAACCAAACGTTGAAATTCGTGGCGAAGACAAACAAGAAGTGAACAGGGAATGCTTTCGGGCCTCGAACCACTCCGAATGCACTCCGAGGTGCTACTGTAACCTGCTGCTTCTACGTCTTTGCGTTGGGGGGAGAAGCACTCAGGTGCATATACAAAGTGATGTTGTAAAGTAGTGCAAAGGCTGAAGGTGTTGTAGAGTAGTGAAAATAGTCAGCAGTGCAAAGTAAGTAGCATAGAGAAATGCAAGGTAACGTAAAGTAGTGTTGGGTGGTGAAGAGTAGTATGGAAGTGGGAAAAATCACACATATGGACCATACTGAATGTTAAAAGAGTGTTGCAGTTCTTGCACAGTCGTTTTGTGCAGGGCAGTGAAGAGTAGTGCATAGTATTGTAAACTATAGTGTAGAGCAGTGCAGGATCGTGTAGAGTATATAGTGCAAAATGGTGTCGTGCAAGAGTATAGTCTAAAGCAGTAGTGTGGAGTACGTACTACGGAGTGCCTCTTAAACAAGCGTAACTAGCACGAGAACTGTTACAGTACATGACAACCACTCACGACCAGCAATCCGCAAAACGACAATCCGCAATCCGGCGCAAGGATTCAGGATCAGATCTGAAGTGGCCAGACATTACATTACATTACATTATGCATTGCATTGCGTTGCATTACATTGCATTGCATTGCATCCTGAACCTTCCTTCGATACACTAAAAAGTGCTCAGAAACAAAAAACGCTCATTTCCAAAAAAAGTGCTACAAACCCTTAAAAAGTGCTCATTTGGTTGTTTCATTTTGTCGGGCACCCCCACATGTTCAAACAGCCGGATCCCCAAGGATTCTTGCAACATACACTGACACAATCACGCTATGCTTAGGATCACGCTGCTTAGGCTCTCCGCAACCAACATCATTCGCCGCTGCTGCAAGTAAGTCATCAAATTCACTTGGATGGGCCGAACTAGACACTTAAGCTATTGAATATCCACATTTGGGAGGCAAGTGTCAGTAGTGCCCGTACACTTTTTGAATTGCGCCCCGATTGCGCGAAATTGCGCCCTGATTGCGCGAATTTGCGCCCCGATTGCGGGGTACCAAGTTGTCCAAAACGTCAAAAAATGTCAAAACACAGACAAATGTGTAGAATCAATTCTTTTGAGTTTGGTCCCAATGTGCATCCTCCCCAGGAAGCATAAATTAGGAGATAGATGCTAATTTAGATGCAAAACTCGCTTCCAGGATTGGCTTCCACCAGCTTGAGTATGGGCTACTGTAACTTTGTGGATTTCTCCAAGAGTTTAATAGATACGAAGGTGTAAAATGGGTTTGAACCCCAAAAAGTGCTCATATCCATTGAAACCCCCAAAAAGTGCGCAGACCCTCAAAAAACGCTCAGGGATGGCAGAAAGTGTATCCAACCAGGGGTTTGCCAGAAAAAAGTGCTACAATGGAATCTCCAGGATTACATATATATATATAATTATATATGTATATGGTACTGGTACTGTAATTCTAATTCTACCCAATCATTCAGATGGCTTCCTGGCATCCCGCAGATCCAAGCAGCTGTCCATGTAGCATCGCCTCCAGTATCAACTCACAGCAGGTGTCCCCTAGCCCGGCGTCGCCGTTTGTGGCGACCGACCAACGGCACAGGGCGTTGCCAAGGAGTTTGATGAGGCTCACGCGTAGGCCTGGGGTTTCGCTAGGAAAATCATGGAAGCGATTGGTGGGTTTTCAACTGCCACCTTTGATTACCGGAGGGTATCCTGCAATGTGGTGCACCATAGTTGGCGAAGTTGGTTTACGAGTAGGTTAACTAGAGTGTGTGTGGTAGATATATCAATTACCTCATGGGAGTCACAAGAAATACCACCGGCCATAACTGGGGGTGCACCACCTTGTGGATATCTTTTGTATCTTGGTTGTTGAAGTTGTTGGTTGACATTTCTGCGAAAAGTTGGCTTCACCTTTGGTGGGATAAATGGCGTCCACTGATCACGGACTGCCCTCAACTGTCCAAACATCCTGTCCCTAGCTATCCCAAATCACGCACATCCGCAAAATACACTTGCGACACACAAGGTCACCGCCCATGCACTGCCAAAACCTTTGCGATCCAACTTGAATTTTCAACCTGAATCTTTAGTCACCAAAGCACAATCACAACTCCTCAGTCATGGGATATTTCTCATTCTGCCCCTCCCCGTGGAAAGGTGGAAAGGTACTTACTCTCACAGCTGTCTGACATCTGTTATAAAACAGCTAATTTGAATCCCTATTGTCGTTTCATGGCAACAAGAAGACCCCTTGCACCTGCAGTGAACCACTTCTGGAAAATACCCTCTGAACGACCTGGTGAAAGCACTGGTTAAATCTCCCATTTCTACACATTTCTTTCCACTTTTCAGTTGCCATTGGGGCCAGCCGACTCTGCCGAGAGACGTGGAAAGTGAAACAACATGGCCGCAGCCATCGCTTGCAAGCCATCTTCCTCCGTGAGTTTTGCCAAGGGTGGCGCGCTTTGGTCACCTGCGCTGAAGTCACTAAGGAGAAAGCCGGATGAAGCAACGATATATTTCACCTGCCCTTCTTGGAAACTGCACAACATGCATCTCTGGTTTTTGTTATTGCCTGTAGATATCCATAGATTCTATAGTTGGCTTACTCATGTGAATGTTCATTTTGCGGCTGTGATTGCTTAACGACTGACATGGAATGTCCTGGAATACAATGCGGCAAAGAAACCAATGAATTTCCGGAAAATCATCTCCAAAAGGATGTTGTTTATATACTAATTAACTCCCAAAAAAAGGTCAAATCCTACTAAAGTATAGTTATGTTTTACTGTTCCTTCTTTTTGAGGGTTGTTATTACTTATTCCATTTCCACTGTTACTTTGCCAACCCCTGACGCATCCTGACGCTAAGTTTCGGCCTGGCATCCCTGCAATGAAGGGCACCAGCAAGGGTAGAAGCCCCGAGAGCAGCTTCTCGTGTAAGCCTCACATGGGGAACGCCCCCCAAAAACGGCGTGGTGCTTTTTTTGAAGGACCATTAAAAGCAGAAAATGGTGCAACAAATAGGCGACTCTAACTAACAATAATGGAATTTAGAGTTGGTCATAGTTGATTTCAGTCAGCTACAGTAACTTGGCAAACATAACTATGAAACTTCTGGCTTTATGGTGGTTGTCACACCAACGTGTAACCTCTAGGGCACTACCTGGTACAGGCATAATAAATACCTGGAAACATTGGCGGAAACAAGAGAAAACCGTAATACCATTGTGGTTGGAAGAGGTTTTATGTTTCGGAGATGGTTGGACTCATGATTTACTTCCGCAACTAACCACTGCCATCTTGGCAGGACCTTATTCATTTTGGTGTCCAATGAGGGGAATATGTTGTTAGGGGGATGGGATAGCATATTGTTAAATTGCCAACATGGAGGACAATGAAACACATGGTGCAAGTGTAAACATGCCGGAAAAATAATCAGGATAAGTATACATATGCATATATATATATGTGATATATATATATATATATATATATATATGTATGATATGCACATATATATATATATATGTATATATAATAGTTGGACTGATGCTCCCCCGTCTTTCCTATCTACCCGCCCACATTATGATACAACAAAATTCTATGGGGTAAATACTAAAGACAGGGGAGCACAGCCTTATAGAAAACAATAATAAAAACCATAACAAACAAACAAACAAACAAACAAACAAACAACAAAACAAAAAAACTCAAACAACCTAAACAATACAATAAATTATAAAAAAAAGACTATACCATAAATCATAACAACAAACCAAAACAAAAGACACTTTCACTTTTATAAAATGAAATTTGACTATCATGCTTCTTCAAATTCTCCTCATGCTTCAAAGTGTTTGTGTGCCCCTTGTAATTTTGAGTTTGAATTTCATAATCATCACTTCAAAATTCTGGGGATAATCAACATAATTTTCATAATCATTTATTATGAATATTATGGGATTATTTACCACAGTCTCCCCCTAAGGGGAAGCCTCAGCCCCCAGCCAATATACAATCCCACCCCCCAGCATAAATACCAGCATACATACAAACTAGCATATCACAACAGCATCGCATCTTTCTCAACCCCAAATCTCTCTTAATCCGCAATTGCCAAGCCCAAACCACCCTTCATGAACTTGTTGATGACCATGTCTTCTTAACCTCAGCGCGATGTACATGACACAGCAATCCAACCTCTTGGGGTGAAATGGAGTGAAAGAGATTTGTGTGGTGCGCCTTGTTGGTGCCAGTCTTCTCAAGTATCTGGAAGGTTTTGCCTTTTGATTAGGCGTGAACCATCACTGCACTGGATGTCAAGTTTGTGAAGGCACTCTGGCAACTGGCATGAGTGCTCTATTAAAACAATTCTCAGGCACTTTGTTTGTCACCAAACCGGCGAGCAAACCAGAGCCCTCTACACTCACCAGCAGCATGGTTGTATTTTGCACCATTTGCAGCCGCACTTGTATATTTCAGCAACAGCAGAAGGGCCTTGAGGAACAAAGCAGCAACACTTTTTTTTGCTCTCGTGTGTGCTTGCCAAGAAGTTGCCCGAGTCAGCGCCAATTTGGCTGCTTTTGGTGTCCGCATCTCCAGCTCCAGCGCTCAATGCAAGGATGATGAGGCAAGCGACAAAATGGATTTGCGCCATGAACATGCCGACACCCCTAAGCTAAAAGCCTGCCTGAGTTTCCTTGAGCAAAAGATGCTGAAAAAACATGACAAATTTCCAAGCTCAAACTGAAAGAGCTAATTTCTGTAGCTTTCCAACTGAGAATGTCAAAAATGCTCAAAATGAAACAAATTCCAAGGTCAAGCTCTCCAAGAACATGTGGCTTCAAACCTCTGACTGGCATATTCCCAACAGCTGAGCGCCCCGACAACAGGATGCAGAAGAGATTGATGACAAAGCCAAGGCGAGGAAGGGCAAAGGAACATGGAGCAATCCCAGCCAATGACCCAGTCAAACACAAATTCGTGGGGAAAACAAATGAAGGGCAAAACACAAAACCCCGAAACCAAAAGAGCACATAAAATCAACCATCTGATGGGAAAAAATGCTTACAAAGCTTTCTAAAAACACTAAATCTTTAAAAGTTCATGCCTCATCAACAATCTTGGGTAATCAGTTAATTTGTAATATTTCTGGTTCAACTTTTCTGCAACCTCTTGCACAACATAATAACCTGTTAGCCAGTGGGAAGTTCTTTCTTTCTCTGTAATTGTTTTCTTTCTCATTATCTTTACTTTGTCTCCCACCTCTAATGTTGGGTATATTCTTTCTTTCTTTGCCTTTGATGCTACATTCGGCATTGCCCTAAATTCATTTTTCTCTTTCCTTGCTTGATTGGGTGTCATACCTGTAGCGGAGCGTTTCATTTTATCATTGTATGTAAGCATTATTTCTAAATTGTAGTCTGTCCATTTGATATGTTCTCTTCCTTTCTTTTCATCTGCTTCAACTCTTTTAAAAAGCATATCTTTGTAGGTGCGTATAAATCTTTCAGCAAAAGCAGGGTGATCCCTTGTCCTATACAACTCAATATTCTCACCTTCAATATAGTCTTTAAAATCACCTCCTGCTATTGCTTTTTCATCATCACTGTATATGATTTTTGGTTTCTTTCCCATTCTTTTTAATGCCTCTTTAGTTGCCTCAATAACATCAGGTTCATTCTTGCTTACAATTGGAATTACTACGGCATACTTGCTTAAAACATCAATACAAACCAATCCTCCTCTATATTTTTGTTCTTCATCAAAATCATAATACCCCATAAAAAACAAATCAATTTGATAAGTATGATTGTTATGAGGTGCTACAAAGGAATTATGCCCTCTTGGCTTTGCTTTTATCTCAACATTTTTCCTAAAGAATTGTTCAACATCCTCTTTCTTGATTGTAGGTTCTTTCTTTTTAGCATCTTCTAATGTGGCCTTTCTTGAACCATAGCCACTTCTATCAAAATAAATATCACGAATAATTTGTTGTTTCTTACTTTCACTCATTATAGAATAGATGATATAATAAATATTAAAATTATATCATTTATTCTTCATTTTGTTTATTTAACCAGTCTTGGTGCTTTTGTGATTTCTCGTGTCTTTTTTTGTGTTGAAATGTGTAATATTTGCCACAACCACACAAATGTTTTTCCAGCAAGATGTGTTTTCTTTCTTGAAACCGTCTTCTATGATATTCCTGTTCTTCTTCTTTATGAAGTTGTTTGTAAAGGTCATTTCTGAACCTACAATATTCATTTTCATCTTGGTAATATTCTGCTGGTGTTCTACACGGCACACATTTATTGATACAGTCATTGTTTTTGATATAGTAGCCCTCCCTCCGTCTTAACTCTTCCTTGCTATTACAAGGGTAGTTTTCTACTAATTCAATTTTACAGTTCTCTATACCGAATTCATCAAACAAATCAAAAGAACGTGTATTTGTAATATTACCTTTCAAGTATGCTGTGTATTTGGCTCTATGTCTTGTCATTCTTTGGCTCAAACTTTCGCAAGTAGAACCATAATAGGTTTTATTATATCCTACATCTACTATTTTATAAATCTTACCATTTTGATATTTGCTCATATCCCTACTTATCTTAACTTATCTTTTCGTTAAAACCATTTTACATTAATATCTTATTTGAAAAAGCGCAATTACAAGACACACAATAACCTTTACAATTATCTTTAAAGTGAGCTTCACAACAATTAACCCTTTGACAGCTAATATTTGATGAAACCTTGCCATCTTCAAAATCTATCACCAATGGTTCATTACAATTTTCACACTGGGTATTCATCAGGTTCATCAAAAAATCTACATCAACATACTCATTTCCTTCTACATCTCTACCTGCTCTTTTGTCTTGCTCAATGTAATTTAAAACCTTTCTCTCAAAATACTGCTCTACTATCCTTTTAGATTTACTTTCTTCACCTTTATTATATTTGAAAAACTTAATTTTGTTGAAGTCTGTAGCCCTTGTGAGGGCTGTAAAAAACCAATTCTTACTAACATACCATTCATTCTGTAGTTTAACAGGTCAGCCAACAATAGGGTAAAATACCTATAGTGGGACCTAAATGCCGCTCAGCTCCTGGCACTGTTTTGAACCAACGCTATCGGGTAGATCGATGATATGTACAATACATGGTTTTACTGCAGGAGTTTTTTACACCCCCCTCGGGCGAGCAGGGACGACTGCGGAAACCGAATAACCCAGAAGAGCATACCCTCGCGGGTAGCCAAATTTCTTTAGTTGGTTTTAGACATTTTTATGCAGTCTTTCAAAGGTCCCTCTAAAAGCTCAAGCCCGTAAAACCCAGCGCAGCGTTGCAAGGAAGGCACATTACCATGCCGCATCTTGCGCTATGCTACAAAAGGAAATCATCGTCTACCTGCGGTTCCAGTAGATCCAACGGCCGCCGGCCTCATCACGGTAATACCAAGCCCCACGCCAGAAACTCCATTCTCGGCGTGCACCATAGTGATCACGATTCCAACTCCACGAGGCATCCGGGCGACCGGAGCTTGCAGCCTTTGATGTGACTGTGCTTGCTGCTTTTGCAGTGGGCGGTGTCTCAGGCTCCAAGAATGGTCGTGCTCCTGCTTTGGATGTCGGTGGTTCGGGTGCAAGAAATGGTGCATTATTGGGATCAACTGGGGTATCGACGTGTGAGGCGTCCGCGTGAGCGGAGCTTGAGGCGGCTGTGTCATCAATGGCGGATGTGTCAGCTTCGGCTTTGCGCTTTCGCTCAGTGGTGGGCGCGACCGTGGGGTCCGCCTTTTGACCTCCAGGACCTCCAGCCTTTGCAGCGGCGCTCTGCTTCTCTTTGCGTTCAAGGTTGCCCCGAACCAATGGAAG